GCGACACAACATACATTGCAAAGCCGAAGAATTGTTGCAGGACAAGAGAGGATGGTTGGATTGCTCTCTAAAAGACTCACATTTTCCTTCGTAATCCCTTGTCCTGAAAGGAAAAATGCATGCATCAAGACTGTATGTAGTCCTGAACGCACAATGGCATTTTTGAGGTACTCATCAGATTTTGGAAGTTGCTTTGATCGTAGCCACCTTGCTTCCAAAAGAAATGCATTGCATAACCTTGTCTTCAATCCAAAACTTAGAATAATCTCATACCCCAACTGAAAATTCTCGACTCTCTTCAATCCAAAACTTAGAATAAAACACAAGTAACATTTCATTCATATTTCTAATAAATACAAGAAAATATATACAGAATCAATATCCAAACTAATCCAACAGATAATCAAAACTGGGACTTCCGAGTAATGTATTAACCTGTCACTTACATGTAGCACCCACGATGCGACCGTCAGCCCTCTCTACCTCTCCCCCACGTACGCTCCTCCCTCCATTGTTTCACGGTTTTCTGCTCCCCTCTCATCTATGGTCTGTTCTGGATCGACTCCTCTTCAATTCCAAAACTTTAGAATAAAACAGCAAGTACATTTCATTCATATTTAATAAATACAAGAAAATATATACCAGAATCAATATATCCAAACTAATCCACAACAGCATAGATCAAAACTGGCAAAACTTGCCCATTCTTAACTGTGATTCAAAAGCTAAATCTTTCTGTTAAGAACTGCACTCCAGCCCTAAACCCTACGCGCCAAGATCTATCAAATCCCTTAATTCGCACACTAACGCAGCTACTCCATCAGCTTAAGAACCCTAATTTCATATGCAAAATTCACGAAAAAGAAAACGAGATCTTGAGAGCATCGAATTCGGTTACGCAACTGTATCGATTGCTTTTGGGAAGAGATGATGATGTCGGCCATTTGGAGATAGAGGGCGGAGCTCTGCTCTCGAAGTGGAAATGAGCGAGCAGCTTTTGATCAGGCAGCGACCTCAACATGGAGCTCCTCGGTGAACTCCTCCGCTGTTGATCCATCTCCGCGTCGGATCGACGACGAAGAGGGATTGGACAGTGGAGATTGAAGACGAGGATGAGGAGGACGAGGAGTTAGAGAATTAGGGGGGAGGGCTTCTTAGTTGGATTTTGCGCGAAAATTTTGGGAGGGGGGAATTTCGATTTTTGCGGGAAAATTTGATATGTTTATTTTTTTAATATGGCCAAAGTATTCTAGACGGAAATTTTCCGTCTAGAATACATTCTAGACAGAATTTTCCTCTAGAATACCCAATTATTTTAAAAAAAAATTTTAAAATATAACCGCTCTAGGATATTATCCTAGACGGAAATTTCCGTCTAGGTGTTTTATCCTAGCACGGATATGTAGACGGAATTTTTCGTCTAGTTTTAATATTAAACTAGACGCGGAAAATTTTCCGTCTACAATATTCCGTCTAGAATACACTGTTTTCTACTAGTGTATGGAGAAACAAATTTTATATATAATATATATATATATATATATATATATAATAATATATATATATATATATATATATACTATATATATATATAGAGAGAGAGACGAGAGAGAGGAGAGAGAGAGAGATTAATGGTATCCTTGTCATAGGAGGGGATTTCCTCCTATGACGCCTCTAAAACCACATGATTGAGCGACATTGTGGATGATCCGCTCCGTTGAACTTGATCTACATACTTCTAAAACCCCAACACACCAAGTTTTGGGTGAAACCGTCGTCGTTTGACCCTTCATCCACTCGTATCAATTTTAACGGTTTTGAATGAATAGAACTTTCACATGGCTCGATGGAGGGTCAAACGACGACGGATTCACCCAAACTTGGTGTGTTGGCGTTTAGAATATGTAGAACAACGTTCAAGCGGAGCGGATCATCCATAATGTCGCTCAATCATGTGATTTTAGAAGCGTCAATGAGGAAATCCCCTCCTTTGACAAGATACCCATTAAATCTCATATTATATATATATATATATATATATATATATATATATATATATATATTATATATCATGGGAAAAGTGAATCTAGGGTGACACCCTAGGCTCACCACCAACGACGCCGGCCTAAAAATCACATCATTTCCTTATTTTTTTATGATCCGCTCCGTTGAACTTGATCTACATGTTCTTAAAACCCAAACACACTAATTTTGGGCGACAATGCTGGGGTGAATCCGTCGTGTTTTGACCCTTTATCCACTCGCTACAATTTTAACGGTTTCGAATGAATAGAACTTTTTACACTGCTCAACGAATGGTCAAAACACTACGAGTTCACCCCAAAATTGGTGTGTTTGGGTTTAAGAACGTGTAGATCAAGTTCAACAAAGCGGATCGCAAAAAAAATTTAGGAAATGATGTGATTCTAGGCCACGTCCTTAGGTGGGAGCCTATGGTGTCACCTTAGATTCACTTTTCCCTATATATCACATCATTTCCTAAATTTTTTTTGCGATCCACTTCGTTGAACTTGATCTACACGTTCTTAAACCCAAACACACCAATTTTGGGGTGAACTCGTTGTGTTTTGACCATTCGTTAAGCCGTGTAAAAAGTTCTATTCATTCAAAACTGTTAAAATTGCAGCGAGTGGATAAAAGGGTCAAAACACGACGGATTCACCCCAAAATTAGTGTGTTTGGGTTTAAGAACGTGTAGATCAAGTTCAACGGAGCGGATCGCAAAAAAAAAAAGAAATGATGTGATTTTAGGCCGCGTCCTTCGGTGGGAGCCTAGGGTGTCACCCTAGATTCACTTTTCCCATATAGAGATAAAGTGAATCTAAGGTGACACCCTAGGCTCCCACCTAAGCGACCGCGCTAGAATCACATCATTCCTAAATTTTTTTTACGATCCGCTCCGCTGAACTTGATCTACAACGTTCTTAAACCCAAACACACCAATTTTGGGGTGAACCCGTTGGTTTTGACCATTCATTGAAGCCTTGTAAAAATGCTTCTATTCATTTGAAACCGTTAAAATTATAGCGAGTGGATAAAGGGTTCAAAACACGACGGGTTTACCCCTAAATATATAGCGCTGTGTGTTTGAGTTTAAGAACGTGTAGCATCAAGTTCAACGGAGCGGATCGTAAAAAAAAAAAGATAGGAAATGATGTGATTTTCGGACGCGTTCTTAGGTGAGAGCCTAGGTGTCACCTTAGATTCTCTCTTTCCCTATTATATATATATATATATATATTATATATATATATATATATATATATATTATATATATATATATATATATATATATATATATATATATATATATATAATTTCGTTTTTCTCATAGTTGCTACAGACAATGAACCCAAACTTTTTGAACAAAGATTTCCATGGCCTTAAACTTGACATTTAAACCTAAGACTTACCCAATCAAAGAGAATTGCTCGTTTGAGTTACCCTCATTCAATCATGTTCTTTTCACATATTTTGTTAGAATTAACATTGCTAGGTTGGTAGGTTAAGTGAAAAAAGTCGAGGGGGTTAAATCTTACTTTGACAACACTTCAAAATTTTAGGGGAATTTCCTCAAGTAAAAACAATTGAGGGAGGTTTTCTGATAAAATACTTATAGGTGAGGGTTTTTTATTTTATAAAATTGAGTAATTAACCCGACCAAAAATAATACACGAGGGCAAAGTATGGAAAAACCATATAGGGTACGCAAGTATCAGCCCTTGGGGAAGGTTCCGGAGCTACTGGGGCCGACTTTTCAATCGGGTCAACCAAAAAGCGTCCCCCCTCTTCCCCAGCGGGCACTGCTCGAAAATTCCCCTCATTCTCCCCTATAAAAAGCCCTAACCCTACCTCTCTTCTTGTTTCCAACTCCGATCCATGGCGCATCGATCTCTCCCCTTCCTCAAAACCCTCCTCCGATCCCGCCTAAACCCCTCCCGCTCCGTCACCTACATGCCCCGCCCCGGCGACGGCGCCCCTCGCCCCGTGACCCTAATCCCCGGCGACGGCATCGGCCCTCTCGTCACCGGCGCCGTCCAGCAAGTGATGGAGGCGATGCACGCCCCCGTCTACTTCGAGACCTACGAGGTCCACGGCGACATGACCGCGGTCCCTCCCGAGGTCATCGATTCGATCAAGCGCAACAAGGTCTGCCTCAAGGGAGGATTGGCGACCCCTGTCGGCGGAGGGGTGAGCTCCTTGAATGTGCAGCTGAGGAAGGAGCTGGATCTGTTTGCGTCGCTTGTCAATTGCTTTAATTTGCCGGGGCTGCCGACGAGGCACGAGAATGTTGATATTGTGGTGATAAGGGAGAATACTGAGGGGGAGTATTCTGGGTTGGAGCATGAAGTGGTCCCTGGTGTTGTTGAGAGCCTTAAGGTACTACGTAATTTGAAAATTTCCTGGAAGTTATAAGTTTTTGATTTTGTTGATTTATAATGTTGGCATAATAAGATGTTTGGTGGGTACAATCTACTTCTGTTGTTTGTATAAATTTTAACGAAATACTGCAAGCTTTGTTCTTTTTTGGGCTGTAATAAAAAATATTTGGCCTTTGCCTTATGTAAAATTAGTTGCTTGCATAAGCTTACGTGCATGAGTAACTATCTCATATGTGAAATTTGAGTATTAATTGATGAAGATATTTGCATGCCTGTAGTATAATTAGTCTTCCAAATTAAAACATATTTCCAGATTGGAGGCTACTTGCATTAAGGATTATACAATAATTGTGTTATCTACGGCACTCTTTTTCTCATATTCCAACTTATTTTTCCCGTTACCTAATATTTTCTTTATGTCTCCCAGACAATTGTACACAAACTCTATTATGCATATCTATATTATTCTGTGTTGATGTGAAAAATTTTAAACTTTTATTTTGTTGCAACATTCATGTTTGTCTTCTTAAGCATAGAACGTATGTTCAACTAGAATGATGTACAATAACTCTTTTTCCTTTCACCTAGTTCTGAAAGTTTTTTTTTTATTTACTTCTATTTTGTCCTCTCACTAAATGGCTCTTATTAGGTGATAACGAAGTTCTGTTCAGAACGGATTGCGAAATATGCTTTTGAGTATGCTTACCTTAACAACAGAAAGACAGTTACTGCTGTGCATAAGGCCAACATTATGAAGCTTGCAGATGGCCTGTTCCTAGAATCATGCCGTGAGGTTGCAACAAAATATCCAGGGATTAAGTACAACGAGATCATTGTAGACAACTGCTGTATGCAACTTGTTTCGAAGCCGGAACAGTTTGACGTTATGGTATGCTACTATTTCATGAACCTTTCCAGCCTATTTATTTGTTTTGGTCTGCAATTTGATTTTTTATCAGGCTTGAGAATTTAGGTTGACTAGAACAGTGTCAAAATTGAATGATTGGTTCTTGTGTTACCTAGCAACAAAAAACTTTTTATGTTCAATTGCATGACTATAGGTTGATGCTGAAAAGACCCATACCTGCAGATGTTATTTTTTTTTGTTTTTTTGATCCTATAAGGGCCTGAAATAATGTTTTCAGTTACCAGTTGGCTGTAAATGTATAAGCATTAGGCTGGATCAGGTAGTATAGGGTTAGTTACATTGATGAGTCCTAGTTTCAGTTCCAGTTCTTGACTTTCATCATTATCGCAGTTGGAGACCAGGCATTAAAAAAATTTATTTATTTTTAATCCTTGCCAAGCATTTTCTTTTAAGTCTTGAAATGAATGAGATCTAACTTGTATTCCTGTTGTCAAGCTCTGTTTTCCATCACACAGTTCTTTTAACAATAAAAATTCTAAAATTGGCATGTTGTTGATGAAGCCTCTACTGTACGCAAACAGACAAGAAAATTGAAGACACATAATTAAGAAACCCAACGGATTAATGTTAAAAATAACCGCTCCTTGAAAAACATGATTTTTTATTATTCTTCCATGAACTTGCTAACTCCCTCTGCGTGCATCCATGTTTGCAGGAATTTTTCCCCCTATTTCCCCTTTCCTTTCTTTTTCCTTTTGCGTTCTGTTTTCTTCGAGTTGGGGAAGGTGTGGCCTGGGAGGTTCTCAGATACCCAACCTCTTATAGTTATAAATAGAATATAAATAACCTTGTTATGAAGTAGTCAACCTTAAGTTCTGAGGGCGTATCAATGCTGTTAAAATCCTTCTTGAGGGTGTATGTGACATTGCCATAGCTTATACATACTTCCTTTTCCATAAGCACCTTGCCAGAACCCTTTAGAGTGTCTTTGACTTTGCTTTTTCTTACTGGTAGCGATGGAAAACAACCGAATCGAATCCAATACCATAGTATTAGAATTCGGTGATTTTTGCCATATTAATATCGATTCGAATACCTGATCAGTGTTTAAATTTAATTTTATTTAATTATCATGTATTCTACAACTATTCATGAATACTCGAGTATCTCATTTGGTAGATCCGTCAGCACTGAGCTAGGTGGTCGTAGGATTGAACCCTTCTCTATGGCATCTTTTTCCAAGTATTTTATTATTTTGAGTTAAAAACCATCAACAAATTATAGATAAGAATAAAAGTCAATTCTCCTAATTAATAGCATTAGTTCACAAAATTTTAAAAGTAAATTGACAAAAACAATAATATTTGGTATAAGACTTTTATATAAAAATAGACCTTACTAGTAATTTTTAATATTGCCTACTACTACTACAAGTTCATTATATGGACTTATTTTAGCATTAAATCTACTACATTTCACATCTATATATATTCATTATGTATCAATTATTTTAGCATTCAAACTTCTTATTTTTATTCTTAACTAAAATTATAAAATTATTTTAATCCAGATAAATACTTATCTACAACTAAATACACATGAATATCTCGATCAGAGTTAAATGTAACTTCAATAAAATTAGTAGACCTTAATTGTAGGCTTAAATAAAAAATTATTTATTATTGATATTGTGTTTTATTGATATATGTGGGAATGATATACATCTCAAGCATAGGTTTATAGAATGAGTAGAGTTTGTAACAAATTAAATTTATAGGACTGAATGTTATGTTGCATGGGTATGGGTACCGGTACTGGTATGGGTACGGGTATGGGACACTGTAATTTTGTAAAAGGTGGGGTAGGGGGACGGTATATAAATTATTTATATGCACATATATTATATGTTGTAATTAATAATTTATATGAGAGCAAGAATAAGAAGTAGAATTCCTATAATATTTTTATGTTTCTTTTATTATGTGGATCGTAGATTGGAAACTCACTAGTTTTTGAACTAGACATCCAAACGAACCTTAGAAATCATAATTCAAAATCAGACTTATGTTTTATGGGTTTTGAAAAAGTGGACGTGAAGTATAGGATATATGTCCAAAAAATGTATGACAAGTGTTTTAAATTAAAACATGTATTGCATAATTGAGAATATCCCCGATAAATGTATGCATATATGTATGCAATGAGTGTCCAAGGAGTTTGGATATGGATACGAGTACGGATATGGCTTCAAATCAGAAGTACCCAGGTAACATAGACTGAATGTGAAACATAAACAAATATTTAACAATTCAAAACAAATGTTTAACAATTGAATGAATCAAATATATGTTTGGTTAAATTATATTATGGTTAAGATATATTCATTTATGAAACAAATAATAGAATTTATCGTTGCCGTTAACTATTCAATTGAGTATAACCAAAACTTTTGACGAATAATTAATGAAATGTTTATTAAATTATTTGGTTCATTTCCAAGCCAACTTACAGGTAAGTTCTTTTGCAAAAGACTTACAAAAGGATAATTATATAGATAAGAAACAAACAGAGAATGCTTCTGTAGGGGGGAAAAAGTCTTCTTATACAAGAGGCCATAATGCTTCTGTAGGGGGAAAAATCTTCGACCATAGTTATTCTTATACAAGAGACCATTTTGTAAATTGATTAAACTAATTCCATATGCTTCCATATGGCTGGAAACATCAATAGAATACATAACTAATATGTAGTGTAACATTTAATATTTGCCGTATGTCCTGTTAACTATGGGTTTTCATGCAAATTGTAACTGGAAAACACTTATGAATTCTTGCACACAAAATTTATCAGCTTTGTTTGCTGAAATTTTCAAATTTTCATAAGGCATTTAGATGTGCATGCATCAATTACATGGAGCCTTTCACAAAACATTAGCTTTGGTACCTGATGAAGTTGAGCTATTTGTTTGAACCAAGATATCCGAAAGTTTCAGATGTATGTTGGAGCCTTCTATATTCTAAGAGAAGGAGATGCTGCCTGGAAGCATACATTTGGGAAACTGCTCTTGATGTGATTTTGAGGTAACATTATGGATTGAGGCAATCAATCTCAGCCTTAGGTTTACTTTCAGTTAAAACTGGCACAGGGGCACCCAAAATGGGTTCTTTATTTTGGGCTCCAAACCTAGTATGTACCCAGTATCACATTGATTTCTAGGTTCATGTCCTGTTCAAATATATGAATATCCATAGAATCCTAGCAGCGGGGCGTTATAGTGTTTCTTTTTTCTTCTTTTTCTATCTAAGGTAGCTTTCTCTATCCATGTAGAAAGAACCTTCTCATCGTTTTGATAGGCACTTAAAAGGTTTTATCATTGTTGATCCATGGATGTTAATTTCTGATCCTATTGTACATTTGTACCACAGTTGCACGATTCCCTGACTCCCCTCGAATCACTATGCAACTTCAATGAGCCGATTCCTAGTACATTTACCAATTGGTTCCCTCTGATATATGGATTTGTTTCCCAACATTGGTGTATCACTTATAAGTATGCGTGGTGCAAAATTTCTTAGTGCACATACGCAAGATGCTATGCAATGTGCGCAACCAAGTGAAGAGAGACATACAATAGAAGATTAGAGTCAATGACTTTACTATAACTAAGTACCAGTGTTAGTAAAATGTGAAATGAAACCATGATTCCAACACAAACTATGTGAACAAAAAATGAGCTCCATGAAAAAGAAGTATTCAAGTATTTTGTATGACGAAAAATCAAAATGCATAATTAAATTTCTAGTTTCAAGTTTTCGAGTATGTATGTTGGAAACCTTTAAGTGCACCCAAAAAAATTTACAATGTACTACTGACCGAACATGTACACCAAAGCATGCTACATCCACCCCATGTGGATTAAATATCGGCCGATATATCGTTATATCAGCCAATATATCGGTTTTGATGCCCTTCAGATACGATGTTTATGAAAAAAAATACTATTTTTCGATTTTTACCACTTTTTCTGATATATAGGAAATATCAGACGATATTTCATTGATGAAATATTGGGCGATATTGGCTAATATCCAAATGTAAATGGTTATTGAGTTTGGATTTGTTTTTAGTTCCTACTAGACCCGAAAACTTAATAAATTCCTAACCCCAAATACCCTAAATCCCTAGTCAATCTCTTATTTCTCCTCCCTCTTCGTTTGGCACTCCAGTTTAAAATCTCTTATTTCTCCTCCCTCTTCGTTTGGCACTCCAGTTTAAAAACACTAGGTGATCTCAGGTCGAATCTCTCTCCTCTCTCTCCACTCTCTTTCTCTTCGCCAGTTCTCCTCTCCCTCAGCTCTCTCAGCTCCTCCTCAGACCCCTTGGTCTCTCTTACTCTCTCCTCTCCTCTTTCTCAACTTCTCTCTCCCTTCTCTCTCTGTCTTCCTCTCTCTCCTCTATTCATGTCTTCTCTCTCTCTCTGACCTCTACCAATACCTAATGTCTCTAAACGTCGTATATCATTATTCATAATGCAATTTCTTATGTTTAGAATACATTAAATATGTTTTGATTGCATATTACAATGTTATGTTACATATGAACATCATCTGATATGACACCCGGATATTTTTTACATATCCCGGATATATCTCCGATTTTCGCTATCTCAGATATGGATTTCAGCCATCCGATATTTCGATATTTAATACATTGCCCACCCTCCCCACCCCCAACAAAAAAAGCCAAGTTTTCTAAGTGGCGACTGGTGCACCCGCGTTTGTATAACTATGCATTGTACCTTGTGCATGATGATATTAGGTTCATCAATTAATGAACGATAAATGTTTCATGTATGGCAGAATGTATTTTCTTTCAACATATTCCAATTTGTTAAATGACTTTCATTTTAGAGAAGCTGCAGCCAGTTGTTTGGCACTAATAAACATTAGTAATCTAACATATGATTCCCATGTTTTTTCACAACAGACGTTCCTAGTTTTCTGGCTATTGCGTATTTTTGATGTTTAGTGATTCCAGTAAGCTTAAGATGTCTTATGTTTCCCTAATTCATGTGGGCATTTTACCTTGCAGGTCACACCAAACTTATATGGGAATCTAGTGGCAAACACTGCTGCAGGTATCGCTGGAGGCACAGGTGTCATGCCTGGAGGTATGCTTTCTTATACTCTAGTTTTCTGCCACTTTCCGCACCCAACTGATGGCTCTCATCCAAAAATAACAAATAAAAAAGATAAATAGTCGTAAGGTAATCATAAAATGTCAAACATCACCATCTTGTTGTAAAGAAGTGTGCTTTCTTGCTGGTTATTTAGGGTAGTTAGCGACTATATGAGTTATATTCTAGAAGCTAAATAGCTTTTTCAAGACTTGGTATATCATATCACTTGTCACTGTTATTATTATGAAGATATGGGATTCCGCTGAAGTTATGCACGTGTCTATGCTAGCTAAGATTCTAAGAAGTGTAAGCTAGTATAATTATCATTCAGCTTACTCTTTACCTTTTTATTTCAGGCAATGTTGGGCAAGGCCATGCGGTATTTGA